TAGATAGGTAAAGACAAGTATTGATTTGGATGAAGAGAAGGGCAATGTACCAAATGTGAGTGATCAACATGGTGGCATTGAGAAAGAAGAAGACATAGAGAGGTGAATGGGAGGTACAGACAACAAAGATAAACCCTTTTGCACATACAGAACTGTGTTGTCAGTGAAGGCAAACATTAATTTATGGGTCGATAGATGGGTGGACAAGTTGAAATATTAGATACATCGGTGCAGGGGGTAGTGTACCCACAATCATGTATAAGGTTGGCTGACAATGTTTCTACAGGTGTATTTGTAAGAATTCCTAGGTATACAGTAGTGCTGACAAGGGGCAAGTTTGCAGTCACTTGTTGGCCACAGCCAGCTACCCAGAGGGAGTGAGTAGCTGGACCTGTGGGCTTGGAACCATAGTTGCAGGGGACATCAAGCTCAATTGACATAACATGCTGCACAAAAACATTGTTCCACATCCTACTTTGGCGAGTAGTGACTGGGATGTTAAAAGCTTGCAAGTGGCCATCTACATGCAATGATGGGTCTTTCCTCATCCAGAACGAAGAAGAATGAAGAAAACCAAAGATTCATGGAAACAATTAGTCCAAGCGACTGGTACACTATGAGATCCTCAGCCTATACAACTATGAGACTAAAAGAACTAGATGGTGCCCATTACCACTGTCCACCACTTCTATACTCTATGTAGGAAATCCTGGATAGAGTGGGAGAACAATGTGGAACAAAACTCAAAATCATAAAAAAAAAGAAAGAAAAAAAGGGACCAGGTTTACTGGCCTGATAGAGCCTGATGGAACCCCTGAGACTATACTAGCTGCCCTTCAGGTCTGAAATTGAATCCACTCTTGTGGCTTCCAGCCAAACAAAAGGTGGGCATATGAGCTGAACAGTTACATTAGGTAGATACACTCCTTGGAGAGATCAATCATGGGAGAATAGAAGGGCTGTGTATGCACAGGGAGATAGCTCGGCAGGGGGGCAGGAGTGCGTGGGAGTGAAGGACATAGGGAAGAGGTAACTATGGGGAGGAAGTGAGAGGGGAGCTGTTGCATTGTGGGAAATTGCAGTCAATATCATGAGACAAAGTATATGTGAGCTGCTGTATGGAAAGAGAATTTGCTCTGTATCCTTTAACCCAAATCACAATAAATTTAAAAAAAAATGAAAAAGATTGGGGAAGACTCATTAACAAACCATGGTATGCAGATGACACTACCTTGCTTGTTAAAAATGAAGACTTGAAATATTTACTGATGAAAATCAAATACTACAGTCTTCAGTATGGATTACACCTTAACACAAAGAAAACAAAATCCTCACAACTAGACCAATAAACAACATCATGGTAAATGGAGAAAAGATTGAAGTTGTCAAGCATTTCATTTTACTTGGATCCACAATCAATACCCCTGAAAGCAACACTCACAAAATCCGATGACCTATTGTTTGGGGAAAATCAAGACTAATGTGTGGTTAACCCAAGCCACAGTATTTTCAATAGCCTCAAATCCATGTGAGAATTGGATAATGAATAAGGAAGATTGCAGAAAAATTGATGCATTTGAATTATGTTAACAAAGAATATTCAATGTACCATGGACTGCTGGAAGAATGAAAAACTCTGTCTTGGAAAAGGGAAAATGGTGAGACTTCATCTTTCATACTTTGGTCATATCATCAGAAGAGACCAGTCCCTGGAGAAAGATATCTTCTGGGTAGGGAAGAGGGCCAGCGAAAAAGAGGAAGTCCCTCAAGGAGATGGCTTGACACAGTAACTGTTGCCACAGACTCAAGCATGACAACAATTGTGAGGATGGCACAGGACCAGGCAGTGTTTTAGTCTGTTGTGCTTAGGATTGTTATGAGTCAAAACCAATGCAAAGGCACCTAACAACTAGCTAGTAAGTGCTTCTCCCTTCCCATTATATCCCTCTTAACCATCAAAGAATGCTGCTTTCTGTGTGTCAACTTATTCTTGACTTTTATAAAATTTTATATGTTTTTATAAATATTAAAATTCTAAAATTGATAAAAGTGGTATCACAATATTTGGTTTTTTTGTGATTGACTTATTTCACTCAACACAGTGTCTTCCAGATTCACCCATATTTTACAGACTCATTATTATTCTTTATCATTGCATATTTCTTTGTATTTCTGTACCAAAATATCTACCCTTTCTTGATTTTAGTGTTGCACAGAGAGCTGCTTATTTTGTTCTTTTTTTTTTGCCCATATAAAAGTCTTAAGTAAGATGAGTTTGGAATTTCCCTTCATCTTTTGTATTTGGATGTATAAATTTGTGAGAATTGTGACAGAATAGACAAAAAGGATTATTGCCACACTTTTACACTGTCACGATACATTATTTTAAGAGAATTATTCTAACTTTTCAGAACCATGCTTGGTGATATTTAAGTCATGCATGTTTTTCTTAGTTCCTTGACTCAGAAATAAAACCCAGCAAAGACATGTCCAATTGAAGAACGCCAGGCTAAAGTTAGAAATACACACACACACTACATATGTATGTATAAAACCAAGCTCACTGCCATGGGATTGATTCTACTCATAGTGACCTCTCCTTGGGTTCCGAGGCGCTATCTCCATACAAGTAGCTTGCTCAATCTTACTTCTGAGGAGTGACTGGTGGGTTTGAACCATCAGCCTTTTGGTTAGCAGTCAAATGCCTTAGGCACCACACCACCAGAGTGCCCATGTATATGTATGTATATGTGTATATATATATATATATATAAAAGTGGGAATAGAGGCAATTTTGACTCATGGTGATCACATGTATATCAGAGTAGAGTTGTCCTTCATAGAGTTTCTCCCTTCCATCCTTTCTTCCCTCCCTCCCTCCTTCCTTCCTTCCTTCCTTGTTTCCTTTCTTTCTTCCTTCCTTTCTTTTTTATGATTTGGGTGAAAGTTTACAGAGCCAATTGGTTTTGCATTCAACAATTCATACACATTTTGTTTTGTGATATTCATTGCAATTACCACTATGTAACAGCACTCTTCCCACTTCCTCCCAATGTTTACCTTTTGTCTTCAGCTTATTTCCTATCCATTTCTGCCTTCTGAGCTTTATCTTTGGGCAAATGATGCTCTTTTGATCTCACATGGTTAATTGTTCTAAGGAGTGCATACTTTCCTGGTATTGTTGTTCACCTAATAGGTCTATCATTTGGCTAAGCTGAGTCAGTTCCTGGTGTGAAAGGTGTATAAAGGCAATATCCACAGGATTTTCAATGCCTAATTTTTTGGAAGAAGATCACCAGATTGTTTTTTTTTCCCCAAAGTGCCTCCAAGTGGACTCGAGCCACCAAAACATTTCTGTTAGCAACTGAGCATGTTAAATATTTGCACACACCCAGCATCTCTCTCTTTTTCTTTGTATACACACACACACACACACACACAGTATAAATCTATATATACATGATGTGTGTGTGTATGTATATGTTTTATTTTTTTTTTTACTTCTTTCTTTAAGTATTTCAGAACTGCAAACCAAGATTGATTCTTTATATAATTTTCTTTTTGAAAAGTTATGTATCTTTCCCAAAAATAAAGATCATCTCCCCTCAATGGTCTTGTCCTCCCCTAGCGTCAACCACAGGTCACCACATTCTGTCTTTTCTGTAATTTACTATTTGCCCAGTGTCCTTATTCAGGGAAAACAATGATCCCGATAACTAGTGTTTCTCAAACCTGAGTAAAGACCTGAGGAAAGGAAACTGAGGTCCACTTAAGACATGCAGGGAAAGATCTGCTGCCTGGATATTTACAATGACATGTTTCAGAACACGGTAACAGTACATATCTAGTCTCAAATGAGGAATTTATTTTGATCTCAGTGTTTGGAAAAATTTTTCATTCTCAGAGTAAAAAGTAAATTGTCAGTGTTGGGGTTCAAATTATTCTCTTTTTTTAGACTAGGGAAAGGATCCCTGGGAATGAAAGAAAGGACTGTGATCTGGTGAAATGTCCTTGTGTACTTGCCAACAGTATATAGAAAAAATTCATTAGCATAAGCACACTACATTTCATGTCACTTGAGCATGACTTGGATGTTTTGGGTTGGGATAAAATTGTATTTTGGGCACAATTTTCATCTACAGAGTGTTTAATGTGTAATTCAATCCTTTTTCCATGATAGTTTATAGGTGGAAGATAAAACTAGAATCATAGTACCTCTAAATTGTCATGTAAACTCTATAAACATCTAAGTATAAAGCGAAGATTTGTTACCCCTCTAAGGATATATATGAAGAAACTGACATATGACATTTTCATCTCTAAATTTGTATATATAAATATATAATTCATTCAGAAAAAAACTAACAAAGTGCATTTAAACTTATTTTCACTTCATTCAGAAAAAAATAACCAAGAGCATTAAGTTTATTTTTACTTTCAGGAAAGTGAGGTGAGGGTGGGATTTCTCAATTTAGTATGTCACACAGAGAACCAAAACGAGGTTGATATAAATCAACTCAGTATTAAGTCAGATTTATTTAAATTTTTACAGAGAAAATTTATAAGAATATATGCATAAAATTTAGTTAAAAAAATATATAATAAAATGAAAATATTTATAAAATTCTTTATCTTGATACACTATATTCTAGGTGTAGGCACAGAAATTTCAACAATTATAAAGTGTGTGGCTTCAAATATATGTCAAGTGTATGCTAAAACATAAATGTTGACATTTTATAAATGATATAATTTGTAGCAATAAGTTAAAAAAGTACCATTCTTAGTAATCCTGGACTGACATTACAGCTCTCCCAATGTCCCAAGAAACACTTAAATAAGCCGGTGCTTACAGATATAAGGATTTTCATTCTCACAGTGTTCACCAAAAATCACTTCGCCTGGAGAATACACTATGCAGTGATTTGGCTTTAAAGATTGATGGGATGAAAGTCTGTAATGAAGAAGAAAATGTTGAGATGTTACATCTTTTCTTAGAAAAGGAATTGATAATATTTAGGTATAATGATTTTCATTAAATGAAAGAATTTTTAAAGTATTTGAATAAGATATTGATATATTAAGAAATTCATTTATTAATTTTTTCATTTAATAGCCACAATTTTTATGATTTCAGAGTACATGGTTAGCTAAAACTGAGTTATTTCTTCACTAATTAATAGCATTGAGGCCAGAGATTTCTTTGTTCGTTTATGTTTTCTGGGTTTTTTTTAACAGTTTTGATGTATATTTTACTTCTATCTTGTTTAAAGATGTATTGGTCACTCTAGTCTAGGAGACAAAGTATATAATTTCTCATTGCATGGTGTTGTAAGTCCTATGTTTATGAGTGAAAATGATATTCAAAGATTACATAAATATACAAGTTAAACCCAGAACATTTGAAATATGGAAGGGTGCTCAGAATATTGGATTCCTTCAAAATGAAGAGTATATCACTTTCCTAGACTTCCTCTCTATATGTGAACTTGTATACATGCATATACTCATCTATGTGTTTGTAATAAAGCAAAAAAAAAAAAAATTCATTAGCATAAGTACACTACATTTCATGTCACTTGAGCATGACTTGGATGTTTTGTGTTGGGATAAAACTGTGTTTTGTTGCTCCATTCTTTCTGTCATCCATCTCATGCCCTAGACAGTTTACCTTTGTTGTAGTGTTCCTGTGTGGTAATTGCACTGTGTGATCTAACTATAAACTCACAAACAATAGAAAAGGTATATGACTACCAGACACTTACAGATCCTGGGAGGGAGCAGAGCCGTCCTCCCATAACCACACACTATGTTTTTTATTATAAGAGAGTCCAATCCAGTAGTAATATTGGCTTTGTTTCCAAAAACCCTGGTGGGAAATAGAGACAGACATATTAACCTAATTTGAATCTACTGCTAACCAGAAGGCTTCTGTGAGAGTTAAGGTTATGTATCAACTTGACTGGGCCTGCTTTGGAGTGGCTGGGCAACTGGATATAGTATTCCCCATGATGATACTGGTAATCAACTCCATGGTGGAATCTACCATGAGCAGCTGAGTACCTGTCTTAGGGATGTGGTCTGCTTCCCGTATATAAGGAGAAGCTTTGGGAATGGTCTCTAGTTTTTGGCACACTTGAGCCCTGCATGTAGCCAAGTCGTTGTTCAGCAGCCTGCCATGCCTTGCCGATCTTAAGACTTTTTCTGGATTTGAATTAGTTGCCTGTGGTGTTGTTTGGTAATATCAGGACTGTCCTTTCCACTTGTCAACCTTGGGTTTGTCAGCCTCAGCAGCCAGCAGCTGCCTGAGTGAAGAAACACCTCCAGCTTCAGTGGGCCAGGAGCAGGAGGCAGAGCTGAAGCTCAAGGTTGAAGGACTTTCATGCGACCTCTAAAGCCTGACACTTTGGACTTCAAGCCTCCAAAACTGTAAGAGAATAAACTCCTGTTTGTTAAAGTCATCCCATTTGTGGTATTTTTGTTAGAGCTACACTAGGTAACCAAAACAATGTCCATCAGTCTTGGCTTATCATCACACATACTAAAATCATTTTTAACTTCTAATTTAGACGATGCAATCACAGGGTTCAAATTTTTCATTTATGAGCATTCATTTATGAACAACAACAAAAAACAGTATCACAAAATTTCACTTCCCCATAGAGTGAAACATGTTATAAGGGAAGTTAAAGTTTTCACTGAACAGTTTTTTCACAGTGGTTCACCACTTAAATTTGATCTCAAATCAACAGTATCTTAAGGGATAAATCTCACTAATATAATCTGTTAAACTTAGTACATGTTCTGCATATAGCTAGAGAAATGTTCACTGTTTCTTAATTAAGTAAGGAGCTCTGGTGATGCAGTGCCTAAGGCATTTAAATGCTAACCAGAAGGTTAGCAGTTCAAGGCCACCAGCTGTTCCACAAAAGGAAGATGGGGCAATCTATCATAAATATTTACCGCCGAGAGTCCCAATGACGGTTGCTATGAGTCAGAATTGACTGGATGAAGTGCGTTTGGTTTAATTTTTATGATGTTGTTTTTGTTATAGTTGCTTTGAGGTAATTCTGACTCATGGAAACCCCACCTGTAACAGAGTAGAGCTGCCCCATAGGGTTTTCCTGGAGCTTTGGTAGCGTAGTGCCTAAGGCAT